CCGCTCCCGCAGGCGGTTTCCGAGGCCGTGTGCGCCGTCGCGCGCACGCCGTTTCCAGCGCTCAAAAGTGGCACGCGACCGCGCAGGGACTAGTAGACGCGGACGGAAGCGGCGCGGGGGTCACAGGCGGCCTCATACGGCCTGTGGCGCGGCGCGAAGGCCATATTGAGGCTAATTGCTTCTCGAGCTGGGCTTTGTTGTGCAGAGGAGGAGCTCGCGCGCGCGCAGCCGCTCGTGGTGGCGCACGCCCGCTACTTCCGCCACCATTCTCCGGAACAACTCGGGCGACCTGGGCAGCCGGCGGGCCGCCGATGGTCGCGGCATGAGCGCGCCGCCGGCGCCGCGGGCGGCGGTCGTGAAGCGGCGCATCACGCTGGCCGTGCTCACGCTCGTCAACAGCACGAACTTCTGGCAGCGGAATCTGCTCTACGCGCTCGCGAGCGTCTGGCCGCCGAACTGCCTCGACACCTGCGAGGGCGCGACGTTCGTGCCCATTTGTAGCAGCTGCGGCGCCGCGAGCCTCGGGAGCGAGTCCGAGGACACGTGCCGCGCGTGCCAGGAGTGCCGCATCGAAGAAGAATCGGAGTTCTACAGTTTACGGGATGCCGCGTGCATGTCCGACGCCCAGTACGGCCTGCTGGCGTCCGTGTCGTTCACGATCATGTTCGCGGCGAGCGGCTTGGTCGCGGGCCACCTCACGGATCGCCTGGACGCGCGGAAACTGCACGCGGGCGCGGTGCTCGTCTGGTCCCTGTCGAGCTTCGTCAAGGTCGTGTCGCCGAATTTTAAACTGTTGGTGTGCATGCGCCTCATCATGGGCGTCGCCCAGGGCTTCAACGCGCCCTGCTCGTACCCCGTGATAGCCTACCACTTCTCGATGGCCGAAAGAGCGACGGCGAACGGCATGTACTCCATGGGCACCTACTTTGGGTCCGCGCTCTCCACGTTGTCGCTCATCTTCGCCATGTGGGTCGGCTGGCGCATGACGACGACGGCGGCGGTCGTCGTGGGGATTTTCGCCGCGGCGCTCTTGTACCTGACGGTCGACCGGCCGCCGCAGCGCTACGGCGCGACGGACGGAAGCGAGACCATGGTCAAGGCCATCGGCAACGCCGTCCGCTACGTGCGGCGCACGAGCCGCTTAGCCGTGCTCTACGGTTCCACATCCCTGCGCATGACGGCGACGGTGAGTTTGTGGACGTACCTGCCGAGTTACTACGCGCGCGCGTTCCCGCGGAACGAGGTCGCGTTTTCTCTGATCTACGCGTCGGCGACGCTGGTCTGCGGCGCGTTGAGCTCGTCGGTCGGCGGCGCCATCGCGGACCGCTGGGCGAAGACCCACAGCGGGGCCCACGGCTTCCTGCCGGCCGTGGGCGCGCTGCTGAGCATCGGTCCCACCGCGGCGATGTTCTACGTGCCGTCGTTCTCCGCGTCCGTGTGCTGCCTGCTGGTCGTCATCCTGCTGTCCGAGTGCTGGCTCGGGCCCTGCATGGGGCTGCTGATCAAGGACGTGCCGCCGCACATGACGGGCACGCAGGTCGCGCTCCTGCTGGTGTGCAACCAGCTGTTGGCGTCGCTCGGGCCCTGGGCCATCTCGCTCGCGGACGACGGCTCCGCGGACATCCGGCGGCCGATCCTGTCGGTGGTCGTGACGTGCTGCCTCTGCAGCGGCGTCGCCTTCGTGGGGCTCGGCTTCATGCACGGCGAGGAGACCGTCGCGCAGCAGCGGCCGACCTACGTCGTCGACGACGACCACCGCTCCGTCACGCTCCTCCCGGGCCGGGACCTCATCAACACGGAGACGGCGGCGCTCCTCGCGAACAAGACGGACCCGCCGGACAAGTGAGCGCGCGCCCGCCCCTCGCTCTCCCCGGCTCCGCACATCGTTACAAGTGCCGCCGCGCGAGCGCGTGGACCGCGCGGTCGAACGTCGGGCTCGTGATGGGCGTGTCGTGCTCGTAGAACGGGTTCATGACGAGCTTCACGTAGAGCTCGTGGATCTCGAGGAAGAAGTTGCGCACGGCGTCCTCGTTGCGGCCCTCGTGGAGCAGCAGGAACTTGACCTGGCCGGCCGTGACGTACGCGAAGACGTTCTGGTCGTTGAACTTGTCGACGATGCGCAGGTACCTGCGGCGTTTCGCGCGTCGCGGCGCGAATGTCGCGGGCGCGAAGCGCACATGTCCGCCTTCTCCTCCATGGCCATGTCGACCATGTCCATGGCGGAGTGGAGGATGAACTGGTTCAGGTGCGCCGTCTCCTCCGACTGCTTCGGCGCGTTCGACTGCGTGAACTCGGCCTCGTAGAGCGGCTCGCAGGAGCCCACGATGAGCAGCATGCGCGACGCCATGGGCGGGTAGGAGCGGCGGTGGGCGGCGCGCGCGGGCGCGTCCGAGGCTGAGTACACTGCACTGAAGGAGCAAGATCAGCCGCTCGCTAAAACGTTGCCGCAAAGCTCGACCTGCCTCTCTTCGAGCCCCGCGTCTTTCCCGGCCTGCAGAACGCAATGGCGCTGCCGTCCATGCTCCGGCTCGCCCTCGTGGCAATCGCCGCGGCCCGCCAGGTGTCCGTGTCGCGCCACATGGCGCTCACCATCGGCGACGCCACGCACAACGTCTTCGACTTTGGCGCCGCCGGCGACGGCGAGACCGACGACACGGCCGCGCTGCAGGCGGCCATCAACGCCTGCGCGAAGACCGGCGGCCTCGCCGTCGTGCCCGCCGGCCACACCTTCGTCATCACGAGCGTCACCCTGAACGTCTCCCACACGGGCCTCCAGATCGACGGCGCGCTCAAGGTCGCGCGCCCGCGCCCGAGCGCGCCCGACGCGCGCGCGCTCCCCCGAGGGCCGCGCGCTCCGTAGGTCGCCGACCGCGACTACTACACGGCCAAGGCCGAGGGCAAGGACGTCATCGTCATCACCAAGGGCATCACGGACGTCGCGATCACGGGCACCGACGGCTTGATCGACGGCGGCGGCGCGGCGTGGTGGCCCCACAAGGGCGACTTCCGGCCCCACATGGTCGGGAGCGACCGCGCGACGCGGCTGCTCGTGCACGGCGTCACGTTCCTCAACCCGCCGAGCCACTGCCTCGAGCTCAGCGCGGCCTTCGTGGAGCTGAGCCACGTCAACATCTTCGCGCCGCCGTCCACCGACGCGCCCGTCGTCTCCCACAACGCGGACGCGTACGACGTCCACGGCGCGTACGCGTACGTCCACGACGTCAACTTCACGACGGGCGACGACGACGTCGCCTTCCACGCGAACCACACGCTCGTCGAGAACTCCTACTTCGGCACGGGCCACGGCGCGTCCATCGGGAGCCTCTGCGACGCCTGGGTCACGAACGTGACCGTGCGGAACGTCGTCTTCCACGGCACGACGGCGGGCTGCCGCATCAAGACGCGGCCCAAGTGCGCGGGCCGCGTCTGGGACGTGCTCTACGAGAACCTGACGATGACGGACGTCGAGATGGTCTTCGATATTTCCATGTTCTACGACAACGACCACCCCTACCCCAAGGACAAGAAGACCACACTCAAAATCGAGGACGTGACGTTCCGCGACGTGACCTCCGCAAACCACAAGTTCTCGGGCTCCTTCTACTGCGACGAGGACAGCCCCTGCGAGCGCCTGACCTTCGACCGCGTCCACCTCGTCACGGACGACGCGTGGACCTGCAAGCAGTCGCGGAGCGGCGACGCGTGCTGCAGCCACTCCAAGGGCACCGCGACGGACGTCCAGCCCGCCGGGCTCACGGACTGCTTCGCGCACTCCCTGTGACCTTTTTAAGTTGTGCCATGTTACTGCCGCCGCGGCGGCGGCCCGTCGAAGGACGCGGCCGCGGGCCTCGGGCTCCGGGCCTCGCCGGGCGCCTTGAGGGACGCGGCGCCCCGGTACCTCGGCGACGACGCGGCGGAGCCGAGGCTCTTCGTCGACGGCGGCTGGGCGAGGTTCTGGCGCGAGGCGATCGCGGCGAGGTAGACGGGCCCGGCGCCGGGGCCGCGCGTTTTCTTCGACCGCCGCCGCGCGAGCATCGCGTGGATCTCGCACGTCTCCTGCCAGTGGTCGAGCTTGCGCTGCGTCTGCTCCAACGACAGCTCGGGCAGGCCCGGCAGCTGCGTGCGCCGCCGCCTCGACCGCTTCCGCAGCCGGCTCAGCGTCTGCCGCGCGCCCGCGAGCTTCCGGAACTCGGGCGGCCGCGCGTCGTTGAGCATCGCGTTGAGGCCCCGCATGCGCGACAGGGGCCGGCAGCACGCGGGCTGCCAGTCCTTCGGGTGGATGCCGTGGAAGGTGGAACAAGAAGAGTCGCCGAAGGACGGGTACGACTCGAGCGTCGTCTCCGAGTCGCAGAACGAGAGGTCCTCCTGGATCGACTTCGTCCGCTCGTGGCGCGGCGACCCCACGTAGTCGCCGGCGATGCGGAGGAGCGAGTCCTGGTGGCGGCCCGGGTCGTTCTGGGGCATGACGGGGATGCCGAGCATGGCGTGGATGCCCGTGGACACGAACGTCGCGCGGATCGTGCGGAACCGCTCGGGCTTCTGGGACCGGCACTTGGCGATGAGGGACCACCACTCGAAGATCGCGCGCAGGCAGACGTCGCGGCCCTCGACGCCCGGCGCCTGGTCGTCCTCGTGGACCGTGTTCAGGCGCACGATGGTCAGGAGGCGCCGGTGCTCGGACGTCAGCCGCGCGTCGACCTGCACCAAGACCGCGCGGAACCAGTGGCCGAAGGTGCGCTTCAGCAGGCCCGCCTCCTTCGCCAGCAGGTCGACGGACGTCGCGCCCTCGTCGTTCTCGGACATGAGCAGGTCCTTGTAGACGCGCATGCGCTCCTTGTGCAGGTCCAGGTGCTTCTTGATGTCGTCGAGCTCGCCCTTCCACCTGGGCAGCACAAGAGTGATTCAACGTCGCTTCAACGTGAGTGTTCCGCGCGCGCGCGTTACGGAAAACACATCCACGCTTCGAGACCGTTCCGAGAGATGATCGCTCGTCCAAGAATTAGCCGAAACGAGTGGAAAACGGCCGAGAGAGGAGCCTTTGAAGTTGGGCATGTCGCTCTCTTGTGCTGCCCTGCCTTCCACTCGATGGCCAGCGCGGCCTGCACCGTGTTGTGGGCGATCATCTTCGACGGCCCGACGGCGCCGGAGCTGGTCGCCTGGGCGCCCTCGAGCCGGCCCTTGCCCAGCAGCTGCTCGTGCTTCTCCGCCGCGAGCTTGTTGAGCAAATCGATGCCCGACTGCCGCGGCACGAGCAGCAGCTCCGGGTGGGCGTCGTGCTGGTGCATGGACCGGTTCCGGTGCTCCCGCGCCGCGTTGCGCTTGTGGATCATGTTGCCGTGGGCCTTGGGCCGGTGCCGGCCCTGGACCTCGAACTGGCTCCGCGTGATGAGCTGCTGCTCCTGGTTCAGGCGGTGGCGCATGTCCTCGATGACCTCGTCGCGGTGGTTGTTGTTCTGCTGCTGCCGCAGCTTCGCCTGCTCCCGCGCGCGCCGCTTCTCCTCCTCGCGCTCGCGCTCGAGCTCCTTGGCGGCGAGGTTCTTCATGCCCGTGGCCACGGACGGCCGCGACGGCATGTTTGGAGCGTTGGCGTGCGACGCTGTCGACGCCGCCGCGCGCGCCCGCCGCCGACGCGCGGGCGCCGCGCTGCGGCCCTCGGCGCCGGCGCCGGCGCCGGGCGGCCGCTTGACACCGCTCGACAGAGTGAGCGTTTCACAAAGTTGATTACAGAGCTCAACGTGTGAAGTTGAATCCGACGCTGCCCCGGAGAGCACGACGCTCCGATCGCAGCCACCCGCGCCGCCCGCCGCCGACCCGCCGCCGACCCGCGCCGCCCGCCGCCGACCCGCCGCCGATCGCACCGATGGGCGTCTTCGGTTCCAAGGCCGAGCTGCCGACGGGCCCCGTCGACGTCGCGTACAGTCCGCCGCTGCCCGTGAACGCGTCGAACCCCAAGGTCTGGTTCGAGATCACCGTCGGCGGCAACGTCATCGGGAAGATCGTCATGGAGCTCAAGGCCGACGTCTGCCCCAAGACCGCGGAGAACTTCCGCTGCCTCTGCACAGGCGAGAAGGGGTCGGTTCGCCGGCGCCCCCGCTTTCTCGGCGCCGCGCGAGCCGCGCCGCCGCAGGTTCGGCTTCAAGGCCTCGAGCTTCCACCGCGTGATCCCCAACTTCATGTGTCAGGGCGGCGACTTTACGCGCCACAACGGCACGGGCGGCAAGTCCATCTACGGCGAGAAGTTCAAGGACGAGAACTTCCAGCTCAAGCACGCGGGGCCCGGCGTGCTGTCCATGGCGAACGCGGGCCCGCACACGAACGGCAGCCAGTTCTTCCTCTGCACGGCGCTCACGTCCTGGCTCGACGGCAAGCACGTCGTCTTCGGCCAGGTCGTCGACGGCTACGGCGTCGTCAAGGCCGTCGAGTCCGTCGGCTCGAGCAGCGGCGCCACGGCGGCCAAGGTCCTCGTGTCCGACTGCGGCCAGGCGTAGGGCGGCGCGCCCCGGCGGCCCGCGACGCGCCCGTTAGATGAGGGTCGTGGTTTAGCGCAAGTCGCGAAAGGAGTCGCGTGGCATCGCGGGCATCGCGGCATTGCGGCATTGCAATGAGTTCACCGGAAATTGTTCACATTTGCGGGCATCGCGGCCGCCGCCGCCGCCGCGTAGTCTCCCGCGGCGTCGGCGAAATCGCCGAGCGTCTCCTCGGGGGGCGGGCCGATGACGTTTGCTGGTCGCACGGCCGCCGCGGCCGCGGAGTAGTCGTCGATTGCCGGCTCCTCGGGCGTGAGACACTCGGCGACGGACGTCTCGCGCGGTGG